ACCCAGACTCCTTATCTTGCAGTTGAAGAGGTTTTCTACCGCTGCTGGGTAAGTCTTGTACGATCTTTCAGCACAATTGGAAGCAATAAATAACTGAAAAGTATGGCTCATAGTTTATACAAGATATCGAAAAATATTTGCATATTTTAACGTTCATAACAATCATAAAAGTAGCAGTTGTATTAAAATTACAAATATTTTGCTAATTAATTTTCTTTAAGGAGTTTATTGCACATGTAATTTGCTTTTGAGTTCTTACATTTATTATATTGAAAAACTTTTGTAATATTTTGAATCGCGATTGCAGTCGAATTTACGTTTTCAGTTCGATGGAGAAAATCAATAATCACATGCCAACGCCACTTACCTTGCAATGTTTCTGCGAGGAGTGCAGTAATGATGAGACCCATGGGATGACAGCTGGTAGTAGCACGGAGACGCGACACGTGTACAAATTATATTCGGTTATAATGCACCAAGGTGCAACGATGACCGCTGGTCATTACGTCGCTTATACACGTTTACCTGACGAACCTGCGTACGTGGAATATTCCCAATGCGATCGCGATAATAAACGGCAAAATTTGAGCCAGGCTGGCATCGCGAGCGCGAATTCGTCATCGTCTTCTTCCTCTTCAGACAAACCATCGGGTATACTCAAGTATTTGTACAGAAGCAAGCCCAGTACGAACGAGAACAAGGAACAGCTGGTGAATAGGATCGGCTGTCGTAGCATGGATTGTTGCGGCATTAAGCGAAATAAACAGGGCGTCACATGGTTGGAGTGCGACGATGAGGCGGTACATGTAATCCCACTGCGAGAACTCGAGGACAAATTGGCACCCAATGCGCGGAATTCTGCCACCCCTTATCTCTTGTTCTACGTGAGATCGACGACATAAGCCGCCGTTTTTTGTCTCCCTCCCGCGAACAGAAGTTTAATATCAAAATGTCTCAGTTTGGAATTCCAAGCGAGGCAACGAGCACACGATGACAAAAACGGGCCTCATTCTTCCCATATTTACCCTCTTTCTTCTCCCCTCCCTCCTCTCTCCCTTCGTATTCTTCAATAATTACGCGCTGTGATGTATCGCACATTCCAGATCACCCAAGTTCTTCTTCCTATATACGTGTCGCATCGGGTTTTAGAGAGGCGAGCGTGTATTATTTTCGTAGGAAGTAAAACTGTTTATCGCCAATCATGTTATGTAAGTTAGAGTCTCAGCGAGATTGGACGAATCGACCTCTGTACACGTAATGAAACGCCATCGAGCTCGACTTAACGAATCATAAAGCGGGCGACGCGATTCCGCGTGTAGATAATCTAGCCTTAGTTGGGACGTGGAATGTTTTATCATTTAGTTATCTGTAAAATAATAAAAAAATTATGTATTCTTGACACACACCTGTCTACTACATGTGTTTTGTGCCATATCGCGAGATGGAGACACTTGACCCAATCCTTAGAAAATCTACACGCGACTTATACGGATAGACACCATTGGCGACGTAGCTTGAATATTTTAGAACGTCGTTTATTACAAACGTCTATCGTTTCTCTTTCCGATATTAATCGATCACATTCGCTGAAAAGTGACACAATTCAATTTCCATTTGTTTATATAAATAAGAGTTCCATGTCAATTTTGAATTACAATATAACAAGGAAATTATCGATCGAGGGAAAGAAATTTTTTTTTCATCCTCATAGTCGTCAGCGAACTCTTGCTAAATTCCAGTCAGAGATAAATTCAACGAAATTTTATCTCTGCCGTATATGCGCATACGGTCTTTCGTAATGTCGCGTGTACACATACTGAAATATTTGTATAGTGTCAGCTCAATCATACGTGGTTACATCCATATATCGATCATTTCCATAGGGGGTCAGTAGTGGAGTAACATTCCACCTGTCAGTCGTACACATAGTAGTTCCTACTACTTTCAGACGTGATACATTCAGTAGTTCACATCTCTTAGGTGGAGGACGTTCCTACACGGCTATGTTCTCGATGTTCCTCAAGTAAGACAAAAGGCAAGTGGCTAAATTAATTAAATAATATTATTAATTAAATAAAATATTTTATACTTGAAGATTTAATTAGCAAAATGTATGAATAAGAAATCAATTTGATTAAAACTTTTTGTTCCTATAATATAGCGTTTATTAATTAATTTGGAAAGAATCGTATATCAGCAATTTTAATAACTTATAATTAATAACTTATAATAACTAATAATTCTTTATTTTTATTAAAATATAATTACGAATTTATCTTTTATAATGAGTACTGCATTAATTTGTATTGATATCTATTACTTTGTACATTTTACACTTTTAGAGAAATACTTGAAAAATATCTATTTCACCGCATATTATTTAAAATATTATTTTGCTACGTATTATTTAACGCAACGTTATTACTAATAAATTTCTTACAAAGAATCTATTATAATTTTTACATTTCAATAACGATATTTAAATTTTGTTCCAAACATTTACATATTTTGCGTTTAGAATTTCTTAATGAATTTTCTCCTTTTTGTGTTTTTTTTTTTTGAGTACACAACGCGTCCAAGACACTCGTCCGTAATTTATTAAGCATCGAATTCATTGTCATTATGGTGAGTAAAGTAAAAAAGGAAATAATTGTATATTGACGTAAACACACAATTTTCACCAAAAATTGTACATCGTGTGCAAACAGTTTCTATCGTGAAAGATCTAGCAAGGACACCAACACGATGCATAAGTCATTTTTCCTTTGGTCTCTCGACATTAATAATTTTCGCGATGAGGATCTTGATGGAAATTTCAAGCTTTCTTTTTCACGCTGTATATATTGTATACATTCGCATTCTGAACGGGCGTAATCGATACACAACATTCGCAAAGACACCGACAAACTGATGTCGCGACGCGATGTGACATATCTGAGCACGCTGTTCATGAAACTGTTACGCGTCATCGAAAATATTTCATTTCCGTTGAAGAACCGTTTGTCGACATTATCGAAATGAATCAACCCAAATACGTCCAACGTTTCGTCGCGGGATACGGATTTCAACATCGTCTTCCCCGCGATGTGTTTAAAGCACACGGCGAAACCCTCAGTAGGTCACTTATCACCACATAATCGTCTAGTCGAGTCTGCAACTGCAACGCAGTGCACTGTCTCGTGAATGGTATACTTATGCAACACTAGAGTTGAATGATATAGGCATGAGAAAAAGAGAATATCGCACGCATTATTTGACTGCAAAATCGATGACGCGCTTTGCATAAGAGAGCTACAAGTCATGAATAAAGAATGAATCTTTTTAACAAAAGATTCTGACAAGGGAACGCAATCAATCAATTATACATCTTCGATTTTAATAAGCATTGGATACGTTAAAATATTAATAAAAACAAAAAGATGCGATTTTCTAAATAAGTGTTGAGTGTCACACGTTAAGAGAGTAAATCTCTACCTTGAAAAAATTGGTTTTTCCTTTCCGAGTGAATATCGACTGAACTGTGAAAGATACAAAAAACTATTTTAAATAAAAGTTAAATAATTTTAAGAACTTTATAATATTTTTTATATTAACTTTATA